TGATATTCGATTCTATACGTTTATATGGTTCCAAACATTACTTTTTTGAATGATGACCCAAATGCTCACATCACTATATTATCCACTATAGCTTGATGGAGATCATGGAGTAACCAATTTTTTGGAGCTGCAGTGTGAGGAATAATACAAATATTTTTTGATATAAGAGGAATAATACGCATGAAAGGTAGCACTTGTCCTCGTACTGGGGAATAAATTTACTTAATTACCCCCATTTTACATTTCTTAATGTGCAATTATTAACCTTTTGTGTCAAATTAATTAAATATTTGATGCTATACATTCTCATGCATGCTTGGGCCTACTCCCAAAATTACTCTTGGCTTCTCATTGGATTCAGATGTGATTATGGCATAGTTCCTTGATGATGACCTAGATAAAGATAAACGATTTGCATCTAATCTATGTGGGAAATTGTTAGAGTATAAAATTATAACCCTTAATTAATACTTACCATAATTTAAGAGTTTTAGTGTAGCAGAAAAGATCCATTCTGCTACAACAAAACACCGAAGTAGAGGCGAGGATTGACAGTTGAGGGTTATAATATTACATTCTAAACATTCTTCTACAGGTTTGAGCGCCTTTCCCATAAGCCAAAATATGGATTCATGCAAGAATATATATATATATATATTCTTTAAACTGCGTTACTTTGTGGTCTCGGACATACGCGAATAAGATATATACTTGTGTAAGGTACTTTGCTTTCTATGGAATTCCAAAAGAGGACTACATACATACATTTCTGAATTGATGTTTGAAATTTTCTGACTTCTTGCCAATGAGGTACCTGTGTACGTAATGTTGGAATAACAGAGGAAGAAGATACTAATTTGGACACTCTGTAACACAATGGAAGAAGCTACTGCTTATTCTTCTTAATTGAAACCTGATTACAATTACAGGATTAAATAGAATTGGAATAAAAACTGATTCCCACTAACCACGTCTAACATCATGCCTAAGAACGTGGATCTCAATTGACTCAAACTAAAACATAAAAAGCTCCTAACTAATAGCTAAAAACCAGCAAACCGAATTGACAAATTCTTCCTAGAAGCATGCTAACAAACTCTGACTTATTCTGCATGAATACATGTACTGCATGAGGCTTGAATTACATTTCAACACCTCCTCTTAATTCAAGCTCATACATGCCAATCTTCTCCAAAAAGAACTGATGCTTGGCTTGAGTCAAAGCCTTTGTAAACAAATCAGCATGTTGATCATTCGTGCCACAGAATCTCAGAACCAATTTCTCCTCAGCAACTAACTTCCTTATGAAATGATGCTGAACTTCTATGTGCTTGGTCCTTGCGTGGAAAGCTGGGTTCTTGGTCATAGCTATAGCAGACTTGTTATCACACCAAAGCTCAATTGCACCTTCTTGCTCACAGCACAAGTCTTTTAGCAGTTTTCTTAACCAAATGGCCTGCCTTGCTGCTGCACCAGCAGCTACATATTCAGCTTCAGACGAAGATAAGGCCACTGTGTCTTGCTTCTTAGAACTCCATGTGATAGCTCCTGAGCCAAGACTAAACACAGACCCAGATGTACTCTTTCTGTCATCCAAGCAACCTGCCCAGTCACTGTCAGTATATCCAATTAACTTGAAATTTTCAACATTTTCATAGAGAATTCCAAGCTTAATTGAGCCAGCAACATATTTCAGAATCCTTCTTGCTGCTCCAAGATGCTGCTTAGTTGGAGAATGCATGTAACGTGACACTATACTCACACTGTGAGCTATGTCAGGCCTTGTGTGTGTGAGATAGTTCAAACCACCAACTAAGCTTCTGAAAATCTTCTCATCTGCTTTCTCTATCCCATCCTCTCTCTGAAGCTTCTCGTTTGTGTTCATTGGAGTTCTTGTTGGTTCACACTTCTCCATTGAGAACTTCTTCAATAAATCCTTTGCATACTTCCTCTGGCACAAAAATATTCCACCTTCTCCTTGCTTTACTTCTAGACCTAAGAAGTATTGAAGCAATCCAAGGTCTGTCATCTCAAATTTCTCCATCATTGCTGCCTTAAACTCACTTAGCAATTTCTGAGAAGAGCTGAAATAGATGATGTCATCCACATAGAGACAGACCACTATGAAGTCATTCTTGCTTTCCTTCTTCACATAAAGAGTTGGCTCATTCTCACTTCTCTCAAACTGATTTTGAAGAAAGAATGAGTCAATCTTGCTGTACCAGGCTCTTGGAGCCTGTTTCAGCCTATATAATGCCTTTTGCAGCTTATAAACCTTGCCTTCTTCACCTTCTCTGACAAAGCCGAGTGGTTGCTCTACAAAAACCTCTTCTTGCAAGTCTCCATTAAGGAATGCAGACTTTACATCCAACTGAAACACTTCCAGTTTCCACTGAGCAGCCAAAGCTAGCACCACTCTCACAGTTTCAAACCTTGCCACTGGTGAAAATGTTTCCTCAAAATCAATCCCTTCTTGTTGTGCATCCCCTTTAGCTACAAGCCTTGCCTTGTACTTTTGAATGCTCCCATCAGTGTTGAACTTGGTTCTGAACACCCATTTCAGTCCAATGACATTCTTTCCTTCAGGAAGATTTACTAACTTCCAAGTCTCATTCTTCTCAATGGACCTGATCTCCTCTCTCATTGCATTCTGCCACTCACCTTCTTTCTCAGCTTCCTCAAAGCAGACAGGATCTGTGGCCATTAATGCAAAATTACAATTTTCATACAATTCAATTACTGACCTGTATCTCCTTGGAGCAGAATCACTTGATGAGCCTGATGATGATGAGCTGGAGGGAGACAATGAGCCCAGACTTGATGATGATGGTGTGGAAGGAGGACTAGGAGTGTGATTATCATTCTCTGGCACACTTGGATCCTCCTCTGAACCATTAAAGCCCACTGATTTCTGCTGAACACTGCCACTAACTTCACTTTCCTCCCAATTCCAGCCTGCATCTTCATCAAATACAACATTTCTACTGACAATGATCTTGTCAGTGAGAGGGTTATACAGTCTATATGCCTTGGATTGAGTAGAATAGCCAATGAATACACATTTAACAGATTTATCATCTAGCTTAGACCTCAAATCTACCAATGCATAAGCTGTACACCCAAAAATTCTCAAATGACTTACAGAAGGTTTCATTCCTTTCCAAGCTTCCAATGGTGTTCTGTTCAAGACTGCTTTTGTGGGAGAAATGTTGAGGATGTACACAGCTGTCGCCACAGCTTCACACCAAAACTTGTTTGGTACATTTCTTGCTTTGAGCATACTTCTTGCCATTTCAACCACTGTCCTGTTCTTCCTCTCGGCTACTCCATTTTGCTCAGGAGTGTATGGTGCAGTAAGCTCTCTCCTTATTCCATGCTCCTCACAAAACGTGATGAACTCATTTGACAAGAATTCACCACCTCTGTCTGTTCTCAATGCTTTTACAGACAAACCAGACTGTTTTTCAACCATAGCCTTAAAAATCTTAAAGCTATCAAATGCTTCAGATTTAGCTTTAAGAAAATAGACCCAGCTCATTCTGCTGTAATCATCTGTGATGAGCAAGAAATACTTACTTCCACCAAGTGACATTGTCTTCATTGGACCACATAAATCTGCATGAAGTAGCTCAAGACACTCTCTTGCTCTCCATGCTTTGCCCGTTGGAAATGATCCTCTTGATTGCTTCCCATAAATGCAACCTTCACACAGTTCAAGCTCTCCAGTTTTGGGCAATCCTAGCACCATATCTTTGGACTGCAGCAACTTCAATCCTTGCATGTGTAGATGGCCATACCTCAAATGCCACAGTTTGGCATCATCATCTCCTTTAACTGTCAGTGCTTTGCTCACATTGCCAGACAAATCAAGAGGGAACATT